GGAACGAGCCAAAGCACTTCAGCAAAGATGTTGCCCCTAAACCTCCAACACCGAATGTGACCGGCGATAAATTAACATCTATTTGGACATCTGCATTCTAGTTGGGCAAATATGTCCATTGGTTTCATTACTTCAAGGTCATGCCTTATTATTATTCTCTACTATTCATGGCCTTGGAAGGGAGCGCCTGGTCTTTGTAGAAAGGAATTCTGCGTCTGAATTCCATCTGTGACTAGACCCATGTTCCAGGTTGAAACTGTTTGAACCAGGGCTCCGTGGTCCCACCAGCAGATGTGGTCTGGAAACCCGGATTACCAAAGGCTTCATTTAGATAATAATTCAGCACATTAATCTATTTTTCCCTTTTCATTAAGATCATTTAACAGGCTGTACAAAGGTTCTAAGCATTTTACGTTATTATGCAAAGCAGCTCACCTCATCTACACGTATGATAACGTCTAACAGTTATAGTATCACCCTTAAATGGCTGAGCAGAGAGTAGGTCTGCACCCGTGCTTCCAAGGCCATGAAGGCACAGGGGTTTCAGGACTTGGCGGAGGTCGTGCTGCTGGAGTGACCCAGGTCAGGCTCGGGCTTAGATCCAAGGTGGACGCCGAAGTTGCAATTCAACATCCAGGAAGGGAGGACCGCCGCCTCCGTGGCCTTGGGGTTTCCCCAGGCCGCGACCTACCCTTCCACAGGCTCACCCATCAGCGAGAGCTCGAGTACAAGGCTCTGGTCTTCAGTTCCTGACTTTGGCTGCAGAACCTGGTCCCCGAGCTGAGCTTTGGAGCTGGTCAAATGCCCGTCCCCTGGGGAGGAGGCCATGCATTTTAAGACACTGTCACCGTGAGTTTTTTGGGTTTTTTTAAACATCTTTATTGGAGTATAATTGCTTTACAACGGTGTGTTAGTTGCTGATGTATAACAAAGTGAATCAGCTATACGTATACATATATCCCCATATCCCCTCCCTCTTGCGTCTCCCTCCCACCCTCCCTATCCCACCCCTCTAGGTGGTCACAAAGCACCGAGCTGATCTCCCTGTGCGATGCGGCTGCTTCCCACTAGCTATTTCACATTTGGTAGTGTATATATGTCCATGCAGTGGGTTTTTATACCAGCCGTCGGGCCCATCCATCTTCAGTAGTGACTTCCAGTCAAGTAACAGGACCTCCCCCCCAGGATGGACCATCACCGTCTTTCCAGTTAGCTTGTGAGGCTGGGAGCTGTGCTAGGAGAGATCCAAGTGGAGGTAGAGGCAAATAAGGATTGGTTTGGTGTTTTGTGTTTTAGAAGAGCCCATTCTAGTCATCGACAACCAGATGTTTCTCTCCAGACACGGCACAGAAAGGGCAGGCTGTGAGGCTGCAGGAGGTGTGCACACAGAGTGGGAGGCAATAGTACCTGCCGTGCCGGCCCCACTCCCCACAGGAGGTCCCGGGAGCCCCTGCCCTCCAGCGGGTATCAGCGCAGTTGAGAAGCTCGTGGAGGAGTGTTTTCTCGCGGATGGAGCTGTTACCCTCCAGGTCTGAATCGCTGTATCCGGCAGTGGGGTACCACCTGCTGAGAAGAGGGTGCTCCGGGCTGCATGTCTGCATCTGGCCCCCCAACAGAATCTGGTGCTGGAGGGATCCCACTTCTCCAGTTTCTTCCTTTAGGGTAGTTTGCTGTACATGGAAAAGATTGTCATCAAACCTGTCATCTGATGATACCCTACTTAAGAACTTAGGAGACTATCATCGTTCCCCTAATATGGCAGTGTCTTGATTGAAGAATTATACTTTTAATTTTCCTGGTCACCTTCCTCGGAACAAGTGTATATTTTTAGTACGTGCAACTTTTTCCATTGCCTCTAAGTTAAAAAAATATTTGTATTGCAATGGTTTTTTGTAATATTTGTAATGCAGTAGAAAACTGCATTTTCTACCATGAAAGAGGCAGACTCTTAAAAAAACAAAACTTTCTTTTACAATCCATTCAAGTCGTCGGCATCATCACATAGCGAGAGCAGCCAGAGAACCGTAAACACGTTTGTCGACCCTCGGAACCTACAGTAACGTGTGCATATTAACTAGGTATGCGGCACCTCCAGCGAAGTGCTCGGAAGAGGCCACCCGCTGGCCCGGGAGGTGTCGGGAGTCGGGCCTTCCGGCGGCGGCGATGAGGTTGCGAGGGTGGAGCGTCCTGAAGGGGTTAGCACCCTCATCAGAGCAGCCGGAGGGCTGCTGGCTCGCTCTCCACCACTGGAGGGTCCAAGTCAGAGGTCTGCAAACTGGGAGGCCCTCGCCAGAGCCCTGCCAGGCTGACGCCGCCACCTCAGACCTCCAGCCTCCAGAACCGTGAGGAGTAAATCTGTTTCCACCCCACTCGGTTACGGTATGTTGTCACAGCGACGGCAGCTGAGACAGGGCAAAGGTCTTCAGGACCTTTGGTTGTTGGCGCGTTCAGCTTTTGCCTGACGCTCGACGGCTACGGCGCTGCCAGCTGGGGCCGAGAAAGGTGAGGGCTTCCTCCCAGTAACATGGAGAAAACCGAGGGGTGTCCCCCTCAAGAGAGGTGACTTCCAGGGATGCGGGCTTGTCAGCTACCCAAGTGAGGATGCGGTCGAGCATGGCTTTGGGGCTGCAGCTCCGGGAGGAGGAGTTGGCGGGAGCAGCACGTCTTCAAACGCTGGACGAGGCTGAGCTCTAAGAGAGGGGGCGGGTTGGCTCTAAGACCGCAGGCTGAGGACCACGCTCCCTGAGGGCCTCCTGGGGCCAGAGCTCTGGGTGGGGCCCCTGAGGAAGCCCACGGGGAGCGAGGGCAGGGTCACGCGGGTCACGTGACACACGGAGGCCTGGCTGGCGTCCCCTGTGGTCGTGGCCACAGCACACGGTCCTGTCCAGGGCGCCACCCCAGCTGACCCCTCACGACCCGCAGTACAGAGGTGGAAGCAGCCCTACTGACTTGGGCGCAAACACTCAGAAAGGCTGGATAATTTGCTTGAAGTCATGGGGCCAAGAAGGATGACCCAGCACTCCCACCGGAGCGGCCGCGTCTGCACAGGGGAGGCTGTTTCTGGGGACAGCAGAGGGCACCCGGGCCAGGTGTTAGAGCGGAAATGATGTCAATTACGTGAACCAAACACTCACAGATGAACAATGCTGGATTCTAGTGAGCAACTGGCCAAAACTAGACCTGTGTTTATTGAAAAGTAGCATTTTAAAAGAATCCTTTCAAGCTTTTTCATCCTCTCAGTTCTGAGCTTTGGTCTTGAGAAATTATTCTGGCGTTCTGGCGCCGGGCGGTAGAAATGGCGAAAAGAGGAGATTATAAACCAGTCAGTACGCAGAAACCAAAGACAAAACTGTAAGGCACCAGAAATGCTTTGTTGGGAAATGTCAGAGTTTCAGGAGATACAAAGATTCTAATTTACAATTGAAGACTTTAATGTGTGAGGCACTTTGGAAGAGAAGATGGACAGTTTTAGCTCCTAGAAACAGGATTTAATGGCATTTGGCAAAAGCCACTCGTGAAGAGCCTGGTAGCCCCAGACTGTAACGCACAGGCCGTTAATGGAAAATGAAGCCACGTTTAACGCAAACTAATGAGCAGAATCGACCTTACTGTCTTCTGCTGTCTGTGCAAAGAGGCAAGGGAACGGCAAAACCAGATTTGACCAGGAAATCTCTGGCCAGGCCTGGACAGAGCGTCGGCGGTCCACACTCCAAACCACACGGGGACCCTGCCTGACATCCCCTCCCCCGCACCCACTCTATCGACAGGCTCAGACTGGGACTAGCAGTTCACGCTCCGCTGGCCCACCTGGTGCTAGGACGTCCCGGAGTGCATATGTCCCGGAGTGCATAGATACGAATCCTGATCGACCCCATGCAGCTGGAGACTCCCACACGGTCGTTTGAGATGAAGAATAATTGTCAATGACAGCTATAAGCCTTAAAGAAGTTCCTGAAGCCAAAACGTGTGTCTGTAGTGTGTCCTTTAACTGTTTCCTCCTGAATTGCTGTGTAAATCAGTGTTTCTGCTGTCCAGGCACTCACGCTGTAGAGGGATTCCCGCATGATGTCGACGTGGTACACACAGCAGGCAGATCAGAGAATCGGGAAGAAGTGGGATTTCCATGACAATGTCCAGAACCCGCCTGTTCTGGCTAAGGTGATGGTCCGCCTCACTCACCTGGACAGCTCTGTTCTTATGTAACTAGGTGCCCCCAACCTCAGGTCCCAGACACCAGATGTCTAATTTCAAAGGCAACAACTAAAGATACAATGATCTCACAGAGAGCAGGAATGGCAGATTCAGTGCAAACTCTCACCACATACCTTACATCTCCTGGAAGCCTCCCGGCCGCTGTTGGGAGGGCGTGGCCCCAAAGCCAGAGTCCTGGGCTTGTCACCTGCCCCATGAGGCACCAGCCGTGCCCGTGCGATCACCTGCCCCTCACCTTCTCCATCTGTGTGATGGGGACGATCCCAGGACGGCCTCGAGGAGCTGGGATGAGGATGCCATGGCCGGCCCAGAGGGGGCGCTGAGCACACGTCAGCTGTGGTCAGCCATGGGGGTGCCAAGGCCGCGCCCTGTGGCTCTGTATTCCCGGTGCCCAGTGCCCTTGGGGGCTCGACAAAGGCTTTCCCGAGCGCACGGAAGGCAGGCGGGACAGGGGAGAGGAAAGCTGGACGGGGGAGAGGAAAGCTGGGGGAGGGAGGGCTAGCTGACAACAGTCTGGTGAAATATTTTTAACAGATAATTTCCAAAGAGTAAAGGTAAGAGTAAAGGCAAGCTTGAGATTCCGGTTTCTCTTGGAGTCGCTCTAATTAAAATTATTTCAAGATTAAAAAATGCGGCGGTAGAAAAAGAAAACACACGAGTAATAAATTTGTTAGAACACCTCTCTAGAAATGCTCCCCGCTTCGGTCACTGAGAATTTCAGGAAAGGCTGCAGGGGCTCCTGTCCCACCGCTGAGTCCGAGCTTTGCCACAGATGAACACACACAGAGTCGTGTCATAATACTTTTTTATTACAATATCCAAAAAACTGAGTATGCAAGTTTAGGAGGTCTCAAGACCCCTTCCTCAGCTGTAGGAATGTGCCCATCTCAAGAGTGTATATTTAAACTATAAAGGAGTTCAAATGTAAAGAAAAAAGAAAATGCAATTTCTTCATAAACATTCTGTGTCTCCTACTACCAATCACATATCCTTTTGTAAACCCTGAAGAATTTCCCTGTAAAGCAAATTTTATATATATATATATAGTGTATGTGTGTGTGAAGTGTTGGTCGCTCCCCTTTCCCAAAGATCAGCTGTTTTCCTTAATCATCTGTATTAGTGTCAACAAATGGCTATAGATACATATTACTTTGAGAATTAAATACATCATTGTGAGATTGAAACGAGCCGAAGGGCAAGAGGAAAAAGCACTATATGCAGATGGCATCTCTTGGGGGAACATTTCCGAAACCTCTGTCTTTCCGATTCTCCGGACCGACTTTCCAGGACCTCTTTTCTTTATTGCAGGTGCAGCCCCAAAGGCACTGGACAGCTTCTTCCCTCCCGTCTCACCCGGTGGTTCCAGTATTGCTACGAGTGCCCGGGGTCACCCCCGGAGAGTCTGGGAGCTGTGTGAACGCAAATGACACAGATCCAGGGATGTCGGGACCAGGACAGGTGGTCCCTGGGCAGGTGCCACCCAGGGCCCGGCCCCGCTGTCACGTGCGCTGTGGCTCACGGAAGTAAGGGCGGCTCCGGTGCACCCAAACCGCGCCCGATGTCTTTAAAGGGGGGGTTGGCTGGCACGAGCGATTTGAACAGACTAAGGCTGGCTCCCACGGAGAAGGAATAAAGTGATCTGACTCGTCCCCTTTCACCTCCCCGTCACCAAAACCGTCCAGGAGGGCCTGGGACGGCAAAGGAGGGCAGATGGCAAACGAACCGCCCGGACAGAAAGGGAAACCAGCTGGAGAGAGCAAGGACGGGGCGGCCACCGGGAGCGGGCCTGCGGGAGGGCCCGGGCCGGGGCGCCTTTCCGGGGCGCGTCCACTGGGCTCACTGCAGCGCCCGGACGAGGTAGAGCTTCTCCCCGTGCTCGCTGGTGAAGATGGGGGCCTTCTTGTAGTGATCCACCAGCTCGTCCATGGTGTGGAAGCGCCGCTGCCCGATGCAGTAGACGTTGTCCACCAGCTGCACCTTGAAATGCTTGTTCTTCCCTGATGCTTTGAGAGACACGGAGAAGTCACTGGGCTGCAGAGGAAAGAGGACACCAGTTACCACCCGGCCCTGGGCCACGAGCCACGAGCCACGAGCAGGGCCGGGGGCGGGGCACCGGGCTCTGCGTCCATGCCCGGGGCGGCTCCTGGTCTCTGGGTCGGCTGAGATGCTCGTGTTCTGCAGTGAAGAAAACTGACACTTTGCTTAGTAGGGTTTCGGTGCTAAATGTATTTCATTATTTGAAAACTGGAGACTCATTATGGAATGGACAGCACCATTGTTAACCGCTGTTAAATCTTCATTTCCCCAAGCTATTTCTCGAATTTGTAAAAAGTCATTTCTATACAGGCAGCAGCTAGAAGTTTCACTTTCTCTAACTCCTACCACTATTAGAAGTTCACCCAACAGCGTGGTGCTGGCAGAAAAACAGACACATGGGTCTACGGAACAGAAAAGAGAGCCCCCAAATAAACCCACACACCTATGGTCAATCAATCTACGACAAAGGAAGCAAGAATATACAATAGAGAAAAGATAGTCTCTTCAGTAAGCGGTACTGGGAAAGTTGGACAGCTACTTGTAAAGAATGAAATTAGAACATTCTCTAACATCATATACAAAAATAAACTCGAAATGGATTAAAGACCTAAATGTAAGATTGGAATCCATAAAACTCCGAGAGGAAAACACAGGCAGACACTCTGACTAAATCGTAGCAATATTTTTCTGGATCTGTCTCCTAAAGCAAAGGAAATAAAAGCAAAAATAAACAAATGGGACCTAATTAAACTTAAAAGCTTTTGCACAGCAAAGGAAAAGAAACCATCGACAAAATGAAAAGACAACCTACTGAATGTGAGAAAATATTTGCAAATGATGTGACCAATAAGCGGTTATTTATATATATCCAACATATATAAACAGCTCGTACAACTCAATATCAAAAAACAAACGACCCAATTAAAAAAATGGGCAGACGAACGGCATAGACATTTTCCAGAGAGGAAATGAAGGTGGCCAACAGGCACAGGAGAAGATGCTCAACATCGTTTAATCATCAGGGAAATGCAAATCAGAACCACAAGGAGATACGACCTCACACCTGTCAGAATGACTGTCATCAAAAAGAACACAAATAACAGATGTTGGGAGAGAGCGTGGAGAAAAGGAAACCCTCTTGCACTGTTGGTGGGAATGTAAATTGGTGCAGCCATTGTGAAGAACAGTAGGGAGGTTTCTCAAAACACTAAAAATAGAACCGCCATATGACCCAGCAATTCCACTGCTGGGTATATATCCAAAAAAAAAAAAAAAAACACAACCCAAAATGCTAATTCAAAAAGATACATGCAGCCCAACGTTTCTTAGCAGCATTATTTACAATTGCCAAGGTGCAGAAGCAACCCAAGTGTCCGTCAACACACGAACGTATAAAAAAGATGTGGTACATATATACAATGGAATACTACTCATTCATAAAAAAGAATGAAATTTTGTCATTTGCAGCAACATGGATGGACTCGGAGGGCATTATGCTAAGTGAAGAAGTCAGGCAGAGAAAGACAAACACTGTATGATCTCACTTACATGTGGAATCTAAGAAATACAACAAACTAGCGAACATAAAAAAGAAGCTGACTCACAGATATAGGGAACAAACTAGTGGTTACCAGGGGGGAGAGGGAAGCGGGGAGGGGCAATATAGCAGTAGGGGATTAAGAGGTATAAACTTTAGGTATAAAATAAGCTACAAGGATATACTGTACAACACGGGGAATATAGCCAGTATTTTATAATAACTGTAAATGGAGTATAACCTTTAAAAATGGTGAACGACTACACTGTACACCTGTAACTTACAGAATATCGTACATCAACTATATGTCAATTTAAAAATTTAAAATTTTTCTAATTCTCAGCTATTTAAAAATAAATATTTTAAGAGCAGTGGAAAATTCTGGTTGCATTTTAACATGGTTCATAGTATCCCAGAGGCGGCTATACTATGGTTCATGTACAGATTTTATTGAGAAATGTTTAAATTTGTGATTATGTCAGTGCCCTAGGTATATGTGAATATATTATATTTTAGAAAGATATTATTACTTTTATTAAAATTAGTCTTTCATCTCATTTATTGAAAAATATGTAGGGTAAGACACTGAATGAGGAATATTCTTTGGGGAAAGAAAGTATTGCTGAATTCGATAAACAATTATTTACTGAACACGGACTCACACCAAACAGGCCATGCCCTGGCTGCGTGTGCATGAGAGCACAGCATGTATGCTCTGCATGGGCTTCTGCTCTCTTGGAAGTGACCATCCAGTGGGGGAAACGGATAAAGAAGGAGCTGGTACATAGGCGCAAATTGTGCTGAGTTCTGCAGAGAGAAAGGAGGGAGTACTGAGGTGGCACAGGGCATTTAAACTCGGGGCGGGAGGTCAGGAAAGGCCTCCACAGAAACCGGACCTGGGCCCGAGACGCGCGCTTGGTGGGTGAGCGCTGAAGAGGGGAGGGGGGACGTCGGTGAAGAAAGGGAGAGGGTCCTGCCTCTCCGGAGGCACTAAGTGGCCGGCGCGGCTGAGGGAGAGGAGGACGGACACTGGCTTCCCTCAGCGGCCTCAGAATAAAAGCCAGCCGCCCACCGCGGCCCACCAGGGCTGTCACCTGTCCCCGCTTCCCCAGATCCGACCGAGGAGACAGAAGGATGCCCCTCCCAACCCCAGTCCCACTTTCACTCCTGTTCATGTGGTTCGAGCCAGCCTTTGTCCCCCTCCTTGGTCGACCATTCCCGTAGGTCTCAGCTCACAAGCTGACCACCCTGGAGAAGCCGATAAGCTCGGCCCCCCTTGGCTACTGTCCAGCAGAAGGCGTCCTGACGCACCAGGCCGGGTAGGGCCGCGTCCAATCCACGGCTGTGTTCCGCAGGGAGCCCTACGGATGGTGGGAGCCGGATAATCCAGGTCTAAACTGAATTCCTAGACCAGGCTGCCTCCTTCCTCCAAACCCAGGAACTTACTGCTGGTGAGCACCCACCAGCCTGGCCCCTGCTTCGCATCCCTCCCATCAGGACAACACCAGCAAGCACCCCGCCCCCATCCACTGGCTTTTACGCCGACTCTGCACACATTTGATTTAAGGTGTACAAATCTTGCAAAACAAGAGATCACTCCATATGAATGAATGACAACTCAGGGAAATGGGGGTCTGAGAAAATCCAGCTCTGGGGCGGGCTGCCACCTGTCACAGCTGTAGGCAGAAACGCATCTCAGAGACACAGGGATTTATAGTTTGTATTTGTGTGTCCCTTTGCCCCAAACCGAACAAATAAAAACAAATCTTGAAGGGAAAAACCTCACCTTATCTCCATACTAAACCCAGGGCTTGAGGACTTGGAGGAAACCCAGGAAGAGACAGGAAGTTTTATCTCTGATTAGGCCTTGGGCTAGGTATTAGTTTCAGAATCATGGCCATTAGAGGATTAGGGGCCCAGAGCAGGTGGGGAAGGAGACACAGAACTTGAAAATTACTTCCCCAACTTGATCTCTTAGAAATGAATCACCATGGGGTGAAGATCTTCTGAGCCAGCCCAGGAGGGTGACTGCGGATGGGGCTCAGGGGCCTTGGATGGCCCCTCAAAAAAAAGGAATCATCACGAACGCTGATGTCACGATGACCCTGTCAACCAGCTAAACAGCACAGGACATTCTAAGTAATCGCCCCGCACAATTCTCAAATCACTACCATCTTCCGGAAACTGAACACGATGGATGCGAGCTGGCCTCAGTGTTTTCCGTATTCCCACCCAAGGTGCATGTTGTATACGGTTTTGAAAATAGAACAAACTAAAACAGGTACCGCCCGACAGGCGCTCTGCACAGGATGGCCCGGAGCACCGGCCCTGGGGCCACTGTCACACGGTGATCAGTCCTGGTGGGTGAAGGAGAAGCTCCGCCGCGGGCAGTCACCACGCCCCTGGGTCCAGCAGCACATACACACTAGGGACCGCTCAGCTCTCTCCTGGGGCTTCAGGTTTTTGTGAAGGGACGTTTAGTTTCGAGCATCTGTTAATTTTTATAAGCACATACATTCTGTGCCATGAGTCTGTGCCTTCAGATAAGGACAGAAGGCGACTTCAGTTTCATAGTTTAGCACAAGCCAGGCACTGAGCTCCTTTTAGAGATACTTTAATCAATTCACAGACAAAGTGGCATCGTTCGGAGGGAGTAGGGAGTCAGTCAGAGTCGGCGTGTGATAGGCTCCATTTTAATTAAGCCCCATGATCCACAGACGACTCTGAATTTGTTTTTAATTTAAGCTCCTTCGTTTAACATCATGGTGTGTCATGTGTGTATGTGCATTACAGCAGTAAAACCAATGCAGCAGAGAAAGTGATTTTTAATTTCGTGGGCTCCTGAGTAGAAACCTTGACGTTAAGGACATAGAATGGACTAAATTTACGTCAAGCAGGGCTGCTGAACCTTTGGGGCAATCGCAATTCAGCAGGGGTACATGTTCCAATCTACGTACTAAAATGCACTGTTACGTGTTACCACTGAATTCTAAACGAAGCCTGAAGATGAAATGGATCAGCGGTTCTCAAACTGAGCTCCCAAGACCGCAGCATAAGCGTCTCCTGGAATCTGTCAGGTGAAAAGTCGAGTTCTCAGGCCCCAGCACGGAACCCTTGATCAGCAGCTCTGGGGCGGGGCCCAGACATCTGTGTTTCAGGAGCCCTCCCGGGGACGCCGATGCAGTTTGAGAAATGGGCTCCGAGCCAACCACCAGCAGGGTTTTCAAATGCTCAGAGCCACGAGGACAAGACAGGAATGAGCTTTGCGGGCTAAGGAGCCTCTCGAAGGAGGCGGCCCCGCCGGGCCAAGCTCACCCCCCAGGCGGCGGATGCCCTTCTGACTCTGTCCTGAGAAGTCAGGCCCTGTTCTAGACAGTCCCTGTGGGGAAGCCCCCAGAAGGGACAGCAGGGACTCTCTTCCCTTCACACCGAGCCGGTCCCCTGGATCTGACGGAGA